AACAATTTATAATCATGATTGAAGTGACAAATATTTTCTATTCTCAACTTTTCGTCTGATATTGACACAATAAACTTATTCAATTTGAATAAGTCTTGTCAATATACTTCTTATCAATATGAAAATGAAGAAACATATTTTCAATATTTCAATAAGTTAAAAAGTAAATATTAAAGAAAATCTTATTGAAAATGATCAACATAATAGAACCGGTTGAAATTTAATTCTGTAATATGCACAAAATTGAAACAATTTAACATCGAACTTTAAATGATTTGTTAATAGATTTTCAACACTTTAGAAAATGTCAATTAGTTAAATTGTCGAATATTTTATCTAATAATAACAATGTCAATTAGATAAAGATATAAGATAATTTGAATATGTTAAGATTAATATAAACGAAAGTTAATTTTATTCTATGAAAAAAAAAAGCTAAAATCCGTCAATTGAACAATGAAAAAATGAATGATAAGAGTTTATTGAATGATATTAATAATCTTTATCAATATAATTATTATATCGATAAAGAATAAAGAAAAGATTGATTTTAAAAAAAAAAAAAACTAATATATTTCGAAAAAAAATTATTTTATAATTAAATTTTCTTTTTTATCAACCAAATAAATCGAATAAAATTCTAACAAATAAATAAATAAATATTGAAGAGTTGACATGATTTTATTTTCTAGTGATTATTAAAAAAAAGAATTTTTTATAAAATTAAAATTGATTTATCGATAGTTAATAGAAATAGATGAATCAACATCTATTTATCTATATTATAATTAAGATTTATGAAAAGAATTATTTATTTATATAAAACGATATTTATATTATTTAAATAAATAAAAGGTGAAATTATTTTGTTTGAATGAATATATTTTATTTAAAGAAGAGAAATTTTTTTTATCAAATATTGAATTTTATTCAACAATATAAAACAATTTCAGAATGATATTTAAATAAAAAAAGATGATTTTCTTTTTTATAAGAAATAATCAGAAATTTATTTTTTAATTTTCTCTTAACAAATAAAATAATTTATCACAATTTTAATATTTATTCAATAAACTGATCAGAAGAACACGATGACAAGACAGATAATATATATTTACCATTGTTTTCACTTCAATCAGGAACTTATATGCATTTCAAGAATTGTTACTCAATCTAGATAAGATTTAACTGTTGCATTGCTTTTTTTTTTTACCTGAAAATACAAATAATTTTCGAGTGGAGATAAAGTGACGTTAAAGGGTCCGTGTTTGTGATATAGTTTGTTTGATTAAATAAAAAAGATAAAAAATCAACCTCCCCAAAGATAACAAAACTGAATCTTTATTCAAAAATAATTAATAAAAACAAAATTCTCTTCAATTTTCATATCAATTAGAAAAATTGAATAAAATAATTATATTTAAATAATTAAAGACAAATCTGAACGATTAAAAATGATTTATATATTATTTCGAAATATTTTTTCAATATAAATATTAACAGTTTTTGTTTAATTATCTAATAAAAGTGATATTAAGTTATATATGAAAGAATCTAAAATCGTATATGAGAAGTTAAATAATGATCAATCTTATAAAAATTTCTTTATCACAATTGAAAGATATTTTTGAAGAAAAAACAAGAGAAAGTTTATCTTAAATAATAAAATATAGTTGAATATAAATATGAAACTTCTTTTCATAAAGGTCTTTTTATTTAAATGTGTTTATATCGATGATATTGATAATATTGATAATATTAATAATATAATTAATTATTATTTTAGTTTTTATGATAAATAAATAATGAAGAATATAAGAAAATGCGTTTAAGTATTTTCGTGAGGTGAATCTTTTTTCAGAGATAAGGAGAAGAACAATTATATAAAATACATGACAAATATAAGTTAAGGTAAATGATTTTTTTATATAAAAGACGTAATAGAATTATCTCCTTTAAAAAAGTTGTTTGAAAAGTTAAAAAATTTCTTTAGTTAATAAGATAAATAATGTTTATTGGAAATGAAACATCTGATTGTATAAATACAGGGGATACAACATGGGTATTAATATCATCAATATTAGTATTATCAATGATGCCAGCTCTCGCTTTTTTTGAAGGTTACCTTTTTTTAATATTTACTTTTTCAAATAAATTTTTTTTTTCTTTTTCTTTTCATTTTGTTAGCTGGTTTATTAAAAAGTATAAATACAGTTTCATTAGTAACTCAAATAATTGGTGGAGCATCAATATTATCAGTAATGTGGCATTTAATTGGATATACATTAGTATTTGGACATAGTTATAGAGGTATTATTGGAAATTTTGATAATATATTAATGTTAAATGTTCGATATGATAGTTGTTCTCGACATTCACCAACTATTCCAGCTGCTTTATTTGGATTTTTTCAAATGATGTTTGCAGCAATATCACCATTATTAATAACAGGAGCATTTGCAGAAAGACTTAAATATAAAGCTTTTATTATATTTATAATAGGTTGGGAATTATTTATTTATTATCCAGTTGCACATTGGATTTGGGGTGATGGATGGTTGAAGATTATATTTCAAGTACAGGTAAATCATTTTCATTATTAAATAAATTTATTTTATTTAAATAAATAAAAGGATTTTGCTGGTGGAATGGTTATTCATACAACATCAGGTGTTTCAGCTTTAATTTGTGGAAAAATGTTAGGAGCAAGAAAAGATTTTGATAAATATAATGGTGAATTTCCACCTTCAAATTTACCATTAGCGGCACTTGGAGGTGCACTTCTTTGGACAGCATGGTTTGGTTTTAATGCTGGTAGTGCTTTACAAAGTGGTCCGTTAGCTGTATCAACCGTTGTTGCAACACAACGATCAGCTGTTTGTAGTGGAGTTATTTGGTTAATTATGTCATGGATAAGACACAAACCATCAGCTACTGCTGTTCTTAATGGTGTTATTGCTGGTTTAGCTGGTATAACACCTGCATCTGGTTATATTGATCCTCAATATGGAGCTGTTATTGGGATTATTCTTGGTTTTACTTCTTATTTCAGTATATTATTATTTAAACATAAATTACGTATTGATGATGCACTTGGTAAATTGTTTTTTGTTTTTCAAGTGAAAATTGAATAAAGGTTAATTAATTTTAGATGTTTCAAGTGTACATGGTGTAACAGGTGTTGTTGGCTCAATTGCAATTGGATTTTTTGGTCAAAAATCTTTTAATATAGATGGTAAAGATGGTCTATTCTTTGGAAATCATAGTCCCTATCTTCTTGGAATTCAATTGATGTCTGTTGTTATTACTGGTGCATGGTCAGGTTTAATTACAATAATTTTATTAAAATTTATTGATAGAATTGTTGGATTAAAAATCGAACATGATGAAGAATTAGGTTTAGATGAAGAAGAACATGGAGAACAAGCTTATGGTTGGAGACATTCAGTTATACCTGATTCATTAAATGAAGAACAAATACATTTAATCGTTCGTGGTTCCGTTAATCATCATATACAAGCTGAACAAAAACGACTTTCACATATTTCAACTATTAATAAACCATCGATGCCGTCAATTTTTCATCAAAATCGACGAGCAACCGTAGTTCGTTAAAATATCGACAATTCGAACAGTTTTCTTATTTTTTATCAATTTTTTTTATAATTTCACTGCTAAATTAATATTTTTAATCTTGAAATAATTGATTACAAATCGAAAAAAGTCCATAATAATAGGCCAGAATAAGTTATGTCTGTCAGATGGCACCGTTAATTTTTCCACTGGTTAAGTCATCTGACGAATGGCTATTTTTGTCGTGCCATCATTAATAAAAAATCAAACTTGAAAAACTAACCGAATACAGTTGATGTGGCTGATATTGGTGAGTTCAGTGTGCTCACATATATGAGGAAACTCGATTTCGGATAAAATCTAACAATTTTGTAAGAGTTTTAAAAATGAAGCAGTAGAGCTGTGGTTAATCGCCAGTTTTCGAGCGGTTTGAACCAAATGAAAATCATTAATTAGGCGGCCATCTGGTTCAAATAATATTTCAAAAATAGAAGAAACTATATAACAGCTATTTTTATATATGATGATAACATTGTTTCTAATCATTTGTTAAAAAGTTCTAACTGGTGTTGGAACTATTACATATCATAATAATTTGTTACTTTAGATAAAATAATGTTTTATTTATTGTTCTTATGGCTATATGTGTAAGTCGATGCATTGATTCTTGTTGGCACCTGAATTTATCATAACTTTTTCCTCTGTCATTTCCGTCAGCTGAAAATTTTCGATAGTTCTTTTACAAATTTACTTGGATTTGAGAGACTTTGAAATAGAATGGGTAATAGTAAAACAACCTCCAAACCACTTCAACAGTCATTTAACTCGAAGAAATTATCAATTAAAAGACGTTCAAATTTACGAATTGATGAGACGTAAACAAAGTGATTTCTTTAAAAAAATCATTGATAAAATAATAAAATATTATTTTAATGAGTCTACTTCAAGCTATTCCAACTCGTCCGAAGCTACTTTAACTCAGACTTGGAGTGTACTTATCGAAATTATATGTGATTCTTGTTTTTAAAAAGCTTTTAAAGAAAATAATTTGGTGTGGGCTCTCGTAGATGAACCATTTGAAGGTCTATCAATTGATAATGTCTTTGACTTAGATAGAAATTGAAGTTGGTTTGAGCATATTTTACTAATACCCAAATGGAATAGATAGAAAGTGATGGTGAAGAACAAGCTGACACAAAATTAGACAATCTATGTAAAGAAAAGAAAACTATATGATTTTAATCAGGTTTATCGATTTTTAATCAATTTGAATCGCAATGACTGTAAATCGCACTTTTATCGAGTTTTAATAAAAAAAACTCAAACTTTTGAATAATTTTTCGGGTTCCATATATCAACAAATGGTAATTACAACACTGGAGTGACATCAGACACATATACCGTACTTTGAGGAGATACAATATTAACTGATACTTACTTATAAACAAATACCAACAAAGTCAATTAAAATCGATTGGTTTTCAGCTTGAAAGACAGATTTCATTTGATTGTAATGCATTTTTTATAAAGATATCGACCAAAACCTGACTGTTTTTATTATTTTTTTCATAAGAAGAAATCTTCCTCGAAAATTGATCCTGTATGTCAAAAATTTTCAATAAATCGAGTATCTATTTTTGTGTCGAGGTGACAGTGGATAAAAACCTGAAATGTTTCTTGACTTTTGGCGTTGGATCAGCCCATCAGCTTACATTTCTACTTATGCTTTAGTGTTTGAGAAGAAGACAACAAGAACTAGGAATGACACTATATTTATTTACCTTAGAAGATGAAATATAGAAAATTACATAAAGTTAATTCCATTGTATATTTTCTTTTGATTATCTTCATGATTTATGCATCAAAAACTAAAAAAAAATGAAATTTCAGGTGATGAAATGGATATGAGAATGAATGTATTTAGGGTCTACTATTTATACCGATACTATCAATACTGATAGTTCACACAAGCCTCTGGAATTCTACTATATTTTATTATTCTTCAAGTAATATCAGGTGAACTTGTTGTAATCTAGATAACATCTGAAAATATTGAATAAGTTCATTGCTCTATTTATAATCATTCCTATATTACAATTGACAACTTATAACGTGGAAAAAGGTCTGAGTCGTGGTACCTTCGAGCAAATTATTTGCAAGCCTTTCAACCTGAAAAATGTTACCGCTCATTATATACTCAAACTGCAGATCAATTCTTTATGGGCTGAACAGATACGAATATGCAAAAAAAAAAAATTAACAAAAAATTGAACAAGAAAATTAGAGATTGTGTAATGTGGTGTAGATGATGAGTTGGACTTTTATCATAAATAGATTAGTCGAAAATCATCGAACGCTTTCTGAATGTTAGATGGAGACTCTCCACTGCAAGTGGTTTGACGTAGTCATTTTGCTCCAACAACGACCTTGCTATATAACTATTTTCTTAAAGCCTATAGTTCTGGCCTCGTAGCGACACTTTGTAAAAATATAGGATTATATAGGACTTGAAAGCTCCATTTATATAGGATCATCTATTCCTATATAGGACATTTATAGGACATCAATTTTGAATTAGTTTCAACTCTTTATAGTAGAAACTTATTGAAAAATTAATTAATGCAGTGATAAAACCGGGAGGTGCAGACTTTCTCAAACATCTTATCTTATAAGTTAAGTAAAGATAATACAACAATATACTTTTTCTGAAGAAAAATAAAGGTTGTTAAGTTAAACTTATTGTCAAGTATCATATACCGGGTGCACCAGAAGTTTCGCGACATTTTTTATTTCGCATTATCTCGGCGTAAGTAGAGGATATAATCTTGAATTTTTTAAAAAGATGCGCCTTGGAAGCTGTACAAGAATGGTAGAAACAAATCTTGGTTAACTTATACTAATAGTCCTTTCCATACTTAAAATGACAGACGTCTATGATAGTGCTGCGGGTCATCGTAATGAATATGATAAAAAAAAAATTTTTGGAAGAATTTTTTATTTTCGATGTATCTCGATGAGGAAAAATGATAAAAGCTAAAATTTTTTTAAAAAGATACGCTGTCAAAAGCTCTACACAAACCCCATGTACGGATACTTATTAGGCTTTTGTAATCATTTTTCTGAGTGATTAAAAGTGAAGATCTGCGTGAAGTAGATTTCTGATGTCCCAAAGCTTTTGCAGAATTCTCTATTTGTATTGTATCTCGCCATAGATAAAATATCAAATTTGATTTTTTTTACAGATGCACTAGAAAAAGGTCAGCAGAATGTGATAGAAAATTTTTCTTGACTTTTCTAACGGTATTTCTCGGACTTAAAATGAAGAACTCACGCTATATTGATATTTCTCACCTTATTAAGCACGATAAAATATTTTGGAGAAATTTTTTATTTTGCAAAAATCTCGACATAGGTAAATGATCAAAACTTAAATTTTTTTTAAAGATGCGCTATGAAAAGCTCTGCACAAGCTGTATGAATAGATTCCTATTGAAAAAACAAAACAAAATTTCAAACGCATTTATCATGCTCAATGCGATGGTCTACAGCACTAACAAAGACGTCTTTCATTTTGAGTATGGAAAGGACCATTGACATAAGGCAACCAAGATTTATTATAATCATCGTTGTACGGCTTTCCGAGGCGCATCTTTTTTAAAAAATTCAAGATTATATCCTCTACTTACGCCGAGATATATACAAAATAAAAAATGTCGCAAAACTTCTGGTACAACCGGTATATGTGCCGCTATCATTCACGCAAATTGTTACATCTATTAATCAAACTCTTGAAAGTAGTCTAACATCAAGGTTTTCAGCAGTATACGACTTTTCAAAGAGAAACCTTCCTTTTTTCGAAAAATATAGGAATATAGGAAATTTTAGAAAAAAATAGGACATTATAGGACTGATTACAAAAATATAGGAAATATAGGAAATATAGGACGACTACAAGGCCAGCTATAGTTCCAGTTTTAATCTCTCATGTTTAACAGGGATAAACTATCAATGACCAATATTAGATCATGCACTGCTCGCAGCCTATTGTCAACGAAATGAAGAAGCAAAGATCTTTCTTTGGTACTTATGAATTACATTTCGCCACGATACGGGGAAATCATCTATTCATAATGATGAATTCAATTATTTTGAATCTGAAGGTATGAGGACTATTCTACATTCAACTATTTCTTCAGATCTAGTATCATGTAACTTTTAATTATTTGATTTGGTCAAACAAAATCTGAACAATTCAGACGATTTTGAATCATTGCATCAGGCAGGTTATAACCAAGTTTTGGCAACTATTTAAAGCTCAATAGCGATTTGTATACATTTTAGCAGTAATAAGTTTAGAAAACAATCACTAAAAAATATTTTTAAGGTTAATTTGAATTTGTGGTAAATTATCATATTCTATTAAGTTCTACTACTTGATAGTTGAATGACTTAAGTGTATATTGCTCTACAAAAAATTTAAGATTGAAAGTCTAACACAACTTTTTGTTCATTTCAAGTTTATTTTTAATCATAAACTAAATAGTAAGTGATAAGACAGTAAAACACAGTAAAAGTTCTCGTTATTTCTATTATTGAATAAAATCATGTTGATATTTTATATCATCAAGTCTGATACCTTCGATCGATTATCGTTCTAATACTTGTTAATATCGTTTAAAACTAAGTTTCAATATTTGTTTGTTTTCATTTCAGACTGTCTTGTCGTAAGATTTTCCGTTTTTATTAGGAATGATTTCATGAAATGTTGCAGTGCATCATTGCACTGTTTTAAGTTTGGACACTCTTTTTTTGGTATCTTTTTTTATCATATATATCCAAGTAATTTAACTTCTGTATTGTTTTTGGTAGTATTGAGGCAATGTACTGTATTTTCCAATGAATAATCACAATTAAATGCCACAACTTTATCAAATTTACGTTTTAATACAGCTCCCACAGCATTAGCAACATCTTTGCGATGTTCAGATTCCATGAATAGCCATTGAATGTCATTATTTTTTTTCGACAACAAATTTTTTCATCATAAATATCGTTGCTTTATTTCGGTATTTAGAAGTGAATTTGGTATAAGACTGATTGTTTCAATATGTTTTTTAATAATTAATTTGCTCAACAAATCTTCAATTGTACTCTAAACGATTTGTGACATGTGACAAGTGTCATCCGTCACGGTGACAAAACTGAATAAATTATCATTGAAGAGAAAAATATATAGTAATGAGGTATCCATTCAATAAAGAAAGCTGATATTTCGATCTATTTATACGACCATTACTAAAGCTTTATTTAATTATTTGATTTGGATGTAATTGTAGATTTCAGTGTATTTTATTTTGTTTAAATTTTAAAAAGCATTGTTACGATTGTAATGAAGAATGTCTGAGGTTATATGATCCTCGGTCAAAAATAGAATTATCTGCTTCCGAGGAACGCATTTCATGTATGCGACTCACAGATTCAGGATGAACTCGTACATTGAAATCTGTGAATACTTGAGAAAATTTTCGATCTCTTGGGTATAGTTATATTGATGATTCTCTGTTTGAACTAAATAATATACCATTATGTAAACTTGATCCAACTTATAACGAATTAATTGAAAAAGAAGTAAAAGAACAGAATCATGATTCAATTCTATTTGAACATTTTACTTCTATTTCGACAAAAAGTCAACACAAACAATTGATCTTGAAAGACCAATAGAAAAACTAGAGAGTTTGTTTTGTTGAATTCTATGAAATGAAAAACTTTTCTATAATTGATTTATTTGTTCTTTTTGTATGGAAATAATAGTTATATAATGTTCTATATACTATAGTTCTGGTGTGATTTATTGCACTGTGTATAGAAAATAATTCTAGTTGTGAACTAGTGCTTTTTTTTAGCTGATGTAAATATTGTGACTTTGATTGTAGTAATACGAAAAAAACTAAATTAATAAAAATAGTAACGAAACCTTAACTAGACTAAGGTTGGAAATGTAAATGAACATTCATAATAGTAAATACCAAGGATCTCATAAGGACATAATAGAAAATCGTGAATCTTCTCATGTATTGCAGCTTTACAGTTTAGTAATACGGCGAATTAGCAGTATCTTGTTTCCATTTTCTGTTTGTTGTTTTCTCTTGTATCTTAAAATAAATTGGCATTATTTAAAGAGCTTTACATTTCAAATATTAGCTTTCAATTAGATTTTCACAGTATCTTATGGTGAGTTTTAGTAATGATCTATCCTAGCATCTCTTTTTGTATACCGTTTTATATGCATTAATTGATATTCTTATCTCTATTATTATTGAGACTCTTGTTTGTTAGACAAATTAGATAAGATATTTTCTATCATACTCATGGTTAAATTCTTGACTAATTTAACCACATTATTGTTCTTTATTCTGTTAATTAATATAATTTTGCTATAGTTTCATTTTTATGGTTGTTTTATTTTCCAAGCTTTTTAGAAAATTTACTAATAGAGAAACGAGAATCTTATAATAATACGTAATGAGAAAAGCAATAAAGATAATTTTCATATAAAAAGACTTATGTTAATACGACGATGACAACAGTCTAACGTTTGTTGAAGAAAGAAATGAAGAAGTGGATCTATAATATTCATATGAGGAGATAAAAAAAACCTCTCTGTTTTAAAATTCTTGCTAGAATCTTTTCATCGTTCTGTTAATCGATAAAACAGTGTTAGGTTAAATTCTAGATAAAAAAAACACGTTTTTCTGATAGTTGAGAAGAATAAAAAATCTTGAAAGAGTAATGAAAAAGAGATCAACTGTTGAAACCAGCAAAAAACAGAATTCTTATTCATTCAAGTCACAATAACTAGAAGACGATGATGATGATGATCGTCCGACATCGAATGATCATCATCAGATCTCGGACCATATTTGTTTTTTTTTTTGCGTTCGTCAGTGAACCTTTTTTTCTTTGTTCTTCTTTATCATGATAGAGCTGTCTTACCTGTATCGATGAGTGTCACTTTCTGAATACTATTAAGTATTATTCTGTAAAAGATAGATGGAAGGCGAAAGTTCTTACTATTATTTCGGTTTACACTCTTTAACAATGGTCATGATCATTGCTGCTTTAATAAACATTATTTTATGTATTTTTTATTACTTCTATCAATATTTGCGCTCAGTTTCAGCTAAGGTGAATCTTGACCAAGTTTGGAACGGCAGCAATGTATATAATGCTGCATTAATGAAACAAGATCGAATGAGGATTTTGAAACAAAAGTGTTTCCATATTCCTCGTTTATTGAAGGAGTTAACATCTTCATTCCTCTTTCCAAGCGAAATCCTTGCAATATTTAAAATAAAATTTGGTGGCTATGTTAAAAAAGTGCCGAAAAATTCACTTAATCAACTTGCACATACACTTAACGATCTAGATTTTTGTTATGCAACATTAAATAAAGTCAGTCGTTCGTTTGCACTTGTTATTCAACAGCTTCCTCAACCATTAAAAGATTCAGTGTGTATATTTTATCTTGTTCTTCGTGGTCTTGACAGTGTTGAAGATGACATGATATATCCTCAAGATAAAAAAATTTTCTTATTACGCAATTTTTACAATAATTTGTTAATTGATAATTGGTCTATAACGGGCGTTGGTGATACAGAAGACTATCGGATATTATTGGAGAATTTTGGTAAAATCATTAACGTATTTAAATCACTGGATACAAAAGATCAGTCTATTATATTGGATATCACACGTCAAATGGGAAGTGGAATGGCTGAATACATTGGTAAGACTGGCTCAATTGAAACAGTAACCAGTTACAATTTGTACTGTCATTATGTTGCTGGTCTTGTTGGTCACGGATTATCAGTTCTTTTTGCTCACAGTGGATTAGAAGACACTGATCTACATGTTCATGAGCATCTCAGTAACAGTATGGGGCTTTTTTTACAGAAAACAAATATTATTCGCGATTATCTTGAAGATCTTCAAGCTGGTAGAACTTGGTGGCCAAAAGAAATCTGGCAAAATTATGCAACTGATCTTGATGAATTTATCAAAACTCCTAATAGAGAACAAAGTCTTGAATGTTTAAATCATATGGTGATGGATTCATTTAATCATGTACCTGATGTGATCAACTATCTTGGTCGTCTTAAACATCGTAAAATATTGGAATTTTGTGCAATTCCACAAGTGATGGCAATGGCTACTCTTGTTGAGTTATATAACAATCCTTTAGTATTTACATCGGTTGTAAAAATACGCAAAGGCCTCACTTGTAAATTAATGTTAAACTGTTCGACTTTGAATGAAATACATGCTTGGTTTTATTTCTTTACCACGAATATTGAACATAAAATACCCAAACACACTAATGTCAACACTAATCATATGCATGAACTCGTTGATCGAATAAAAAAATTGTGTAATCTAAATTTAAAATCCTAGGAATTTCTCTGAAAAATGCTTATATCAGTGTAACTCTGAACGAATCAAAATTTATAAAGTACATTTTTTCTTCTTTTTAAATAAACACCAATATAAAATTTTTCATGGAAAAAGGTAACAGATTTTTTTATTATTATTCTTATATGTTTGTTTTCACATTAGAATATATCTCTATTAAAATTTCGAAAAATTCAGATCTAACTATACGATTGAAATAATTCATATTGGACATTGAAAAAAGATCGGACTTAACATAGCGAACATTGGATAATAGAGAGACGAGAGACGAGAGACGAGAGATCAGGAAAAAATATCGATTAGATTCAAAGTGAATCAATGTCCAAATATGTGAAAGAAAGAAGAAGAAGATGACGACTAACAATTACTAAACGATTGATAGAATAAGTCATACAAAACAAAAGAAAGGATAAGTATAGAAAAAAAGAATGGCTCAAGAATAGATGTTGGCGTTTATATCACTGAAAACTGACAAAATTCATCTTCTCGACTGTTCATAATTACTTTTAAGTATTATATTTTATGGATTTATCTAACGAATTCATATTCATGATACCAAGAAGATTTATTGCTCAGCAAAATAACAGAAATATACTGGTCGAAGTACTTTTTTTAATATATTGTTGAAATAAACTCTTTCTGCATTTTTTTTCGTAGAAACTTTCATCCATTTGAGCTGACTAGATTTTTTCAATTTACTTCAGTATGTTTTATTAAAGGGTTTCGTTTTAGAACATATATAAGGTGTTTCATAAGTCTTGAAGCTCGGACAGAATCAGTATATATATATAGATTGAGAACAATGTCTAACGAAAATTTATTTATGTTAGATTTGAGTACTCAAGTTGGTCTATCGAATGATATCTTCTCTTATAATAATAATATAAAGATGAGAATGTGATAATAAATTTCTCGCAATCGATTAATGTTGATTTTTGTTTAACGATTTTCTAATAAAGTGTTGAATGTATTTTACGTGAGAAATAATATAACAAAAACGAATAACTGGATTATTGATTGTTCACTCAATACTTATTATGAACTGATGATCATATGTTCAGCCGAGCTGTGTGCTCACTCAGCGATTTCAAATGAATGGAATATATGAACGCATCATGTTTGTAACAAAAAAAAAACATGTTATGTGCGGAAAAAGAATGTTCGTCTTACAGATGATCTTCAAATTTTTCTCGTTCACAACCTTCATTAGGTATATTATGTAATTGATCATTTCAGCAGTCACTTCTGATAACGTACAAATAAACCATTAAAAAATTACATATCGACTTCTATTATTCTTTTATTTTTTCATTCAGTTTGATCTTACGGTTTTTTTGTCACTTGATATTCGTTTCGACATTTTTCATATGTTTTTAACATCACATGTCTCGCAAGTCAGCTCGACTACAAAAAGAGGAAGAAAAAGAATTATTTCGATCGTTTTAGTAAATAACATTCATTATTTATTAGTCAGAGATCAGTCTATGATAGACAAAGATTTAGCAGACCATCGACTACAACAACTGCAGCTTACTGAAACACGGTGTTGAAAGAAATTAAAAAAAAACAAAGCTAGTGTGAGAAATGTTTCAGCAAAACTAAGATGAAAAGGCTGAAAAACATCATCATCTTCCGTTTATAGGACTGGAAAATCAACCGGATTGAAACGGTTTTCAAAAAAGAACACAAAAATCAACATACGATAACAAAATGTAACGTGCTACGTGCGCTAAAAAATTAAGAAAAATTTTTCGCATTTCAACAAGATCAAAAAAACTAGAAGTGAAATTCATCTTAGAATCACTTTCAAATCTACACAGTGAAAGTGTTTGGGTAGAAAATACGCAAGAAATACCACCAGAAATTTGTAATCGAGCAAAACAAACAAGTTCGCAGATGGTATTGTTTTTAAGGATGGTATTTCGTACGAAGAACTGATTCTCAAAAATGGTCCATTTAATCTGATATCATGCTTATAGAGACAAGAAAAAGAAAAATCAAGAGATAAGATTTATATGAATGATCAGCTATATGCTAAATTTATTAAAGAAGTTGACCGTCAAGAATTTTAAAAGTTATGTCAGAAAATTGTTTTATTCCAAGATGATGCTGACATAAAACAAAGAACAAAGCTTATATTAGAAACTATTGATGAATTAGTTTTTTGATCGAATTTTACTTGAAGAAGGTAATGCTAAGTTTGAAGATATTTGGTCCATCAAAAAAAAAAGTATAAGGAACATTAAAAGAAAAATACGTAGAGAACAATTTTCAAACTTTAACCAGACAAAGATTAGATTGAACAAAGAATGAAAAAAAAAGTAACTTATAATGATGGTAAAAACACGATTGATGGAATTCCTAAGAGACTTGGCGAAGTCATAAAAAGTGGTGAAGAATAAATGCATACTAGTTAAATAAGATTTTTGTGTAATCAGATTATTATGTGTATTTATTAACCAGACTGTTTTTCTTTTTTGAACGAAATATAGTATTGATCGGTTCCGAAAAATTTATCATCACGTTCTTATCTTTATATTTTTATTATTAGAAGAGAAAATGTCATCTAATAATATATCATTTGATAAACTGGCATGAATACTCAAAACTAATATAAATATATTTCCGTTAGACATTACTCTCAGTCTACATATATACTAATTTTGTTGAACCTCAAGATTCACGAAACAGCCTATACTTTGGTACAGATCAAAACCTAGCACAATGATCATAACTAAACAACAGAGACCTATAATAGTATATACTGAAAACATTTTTTCTCGCTCTACTAAAACTTTCTGAAACGTTCCATCTCAAAAGTTATTTTTCATCCGACATAGTTCTCTAGCTCGCTCCGTATTGCCAGAGACATTATGCAAGGATCAGTATTCTATAAAGAGCAATAGTGCCTTCACATGATTGTTTATGTCTTTCATAACAATCGGTTAACAATACTATGAAAGGCAACGTCTCAAAAGGCGATTGTTGGCGACATTCAAGTGACAACACGGATGTGTAGCAGTCGGGTGCCGAGCGAGTTAATTAATTACATCGGTCTACTTCGACATGATATTGTTCTGTTGGAATTTCGGTTAAGCCTGGTGTTCCACATCAATGAATGATGATGTATTAGAATGAACTATATTTAGCTCGATGTTTCAGGAACGCTATTTGTGCACAAGTAAAGATACTGGTTTATTATGGAGAGGAGACGGCAGAACATGTGACACGGAGGCAGGATGCGTTACTCTTTTTTTTTTATTATGCTAAAAAAACACTAATCCTAAGATCCTATCAGTACATATGAGTAAACAAAGGAGAAAAAAATAGAGATAAAAAAACAACAACAACAACAACAAAAAAAAAAGAAAATCATAACAACAGACCATAGAACACAATAACGAGGTCTACAAGAAAAAAAAATTAACACATATAAACAAAAGATTCTGGAAAATCCTCAAGGAGTTGGATTTCGTCAATCTCATAAACAGGTACAGAAGAACAAGAGGGGATAGAAGCCATCCAATCAACAATTTTTTCGATTATTGAATGGTGAGGAATAAATCTTTGTGATGTTCTCGAACATTTGATTGAGAATTGTTTTTCAATCCAAATCTGTCTGAATACATTCAAATTAGCTTTTTCAAACAATAATTCACCATCTATCGAATCTGCTAGAGCAGCAAGATATTTCTCCCAATAAGAATAGCATCTGTCTTCAAGGGACTTTTCATCAAGAGCAAACGCGAAAAAATTTTCATTTCAATTTAAACAATACAATACACGCCTAAGCGAAGTATAATAAGAGTGAGATAAATCTTGTTGTTGTCTTTCAGAAAGAAGAAGATAAATCGGATAAATCTAGGTAAAAATAGGTAATACAAAGGATAGGAAAAGAGTCTTACGAAGATATGGAGAAGAACAACCAAAGATCTTAAAAGATTTAATCAAGGAAATTCTTTGCCTAATTTTAATCATCATACATTTTAAAAATTTACCCCAACCTAACTTTGATGAAATTAGATAACCAAGATACTTATATTCTGGAACCCATTCAATTATTTCTTTTGTTTCATGACAAAAATTAATGACGAAATTCGGATAATCAATTGCTCGTGCACTAAACATAGCTTCAGTTTTATTGAAATTAATAGGCTGACTAGTTAAACAGGAATAATATTCAAGTTGATCAATAAAAATTTTAACTCTTTTTTCTAAATCAAGACATTGAGATGAATAATTTATTCCTAATTGACCAGCCATGATTCCAGCTAAATCATCAGCAAAGAAGTAACTTATGCAACCAGATAGAGAACTACCCATATTACAATTATATGTGATGAATAAAGTTGGGGCAAGAACACTTCCTTGAGGACCACTTTTTTCGATAGAGAACCAATGAGATTTACTGCCATCGATTTCTACGAAGTAACGTCTATTATTTAACCATACTTCAATCCAGTTAAGAAAAGATGGAGGTATGACCAAATTACGTAATTTTTCAGTGTAACCTAGAAACCACAATTGATCAAAAGCAGCGCGAAAATCTACAAAAATAGTACACACTGGAGTACTGTTTGACATAAGACTATATATGTCTTCAAGAAAAAGAAGTAGACGTGTTTGTAAACGAAAACGTTCTCTAAAACCTGATTGACTGTCAGGTAAAAGACCTTTTCTAAATAAAAGATCACGAAATCGAGTAAGAAAGAGTTTCTCACCTATTTTTTAAAATGAATCGAGAAGTGAAATAGGACGAGTTAAAGACGGTAAACAAATGTAATCTTTTTTAGCTAATAAGATCATCCGGGTATCTTTCCATGCGGAAGGTAAGACTGACTTATGAAAAGATTGATTGTAAAGTTTTCACAATAAAGACCACTAATTAAGATCAAGGAAATTAAACATATAATTCGAAGTATCATGAGTATCAAGAGATTTTTTTTTCTTTTTAGCTAAAACAATATTTATAAGTTCATCAATGGTTACTTCAGGAATAACTTCATTATTATTATCGTATTCAATTGGAAGTGAATCAGCATATGGATGAGGTCTAACAATATTTGATGCTTTAAAAAAAATCTTCGTAATAATCAGCTGCTACATTGCACATAAGATCATTTTCTTTGACAATTGTCCTGATGAATCAATAAGAGCATGCAGAGATGAAGATGACGGTTTGAGAAAACGTTTACTTCTATACCAAAACGAGTTAGATGTTGAAGAAGGAGAATTATGAAGACGAAGAAGATTATCAAGTTGAGAAGAAAAAAGAAGATTAAGTTCTTTTTTAGCAATTTTTTTAAGAAACATACCTCCTTTTTAAGTATACTACATTTCATTCATATTTATCAAAAAGAGAACGCTCTAATATAGGATAAGAACGATTTTAGTTCAACGGGTAAAGCTGAATAATATTTGTCTAAATTAAAAAAGGTAGTACAACGAGCAGACAAGAGATATAAAAAAATGGATGTAATCATTATATGTAATGTCAATAGAAGAGTGATGCCAATTCTCTTCCCGAAAGGAGAATGTGTATTCAGAAAAAAGTGAAAATATTTTCCAAGGAGTATTTTTTCCTAATTTTTTGTTGTAGAACTTTCAAGGAAATAACGGAGAGTATTGGAAAATGATCAGTAGTCGTATTTCCATTATATACTCGAATATCAAGATTTAGACCTCGAGTAAATGCATAATCAATTACACTATCAGATCGTAAAGAAGTTGAAGATTCGGTAGCGCTTGAGCTAGGAATTGTTCATCAGCCCATTGAAGTAATATTTCAGCTTTCTTTCCATCCTGCATGATATCAACATTAAAATCACCATAAATAATACATTTCTTCGATAAAAAATGGGAAAGATCATCCCATGACCATGTTTTACTATCAGGTGCATATACTCCAATTAATCTAAAATCTTCTTCACCTTTAACATCGACTACACAAACATTAGGTAACTTACAGGGCACTCTCCCTATCGAAATACCTTCTTTAATAAGCATTAAGACACCACCATTCCTGTTTTCTCCTTTTTGATAAAAAAATCTATAGTTACTGAAAATTTTTTGATGAAATGAAATGTTTATATCATCGATTTCAAAAAGAATAAGGACATCAAATTTAAAGGAAGGAAGAAATAAGAAGAAGGACTTCTTGCCATCTAA